TGCTGGGGAAACTCTCCAAGCTCTAGATAACTTTTTATTTCATCCTTGATTACTGGACCCACAACACTCCAGTTCTTTTGAACAAATCTGGCGGACATTCCATCTGCCCCAGGGGCTTTGTTTGGTCCCATTTGCTTCAAGGCGAACCATATTTCCTCATCAGTGTATGGCCGTAGCAACTCCTGATTCATCTCCGCTGTGACCCTAGTAGTTACTGCCGATAAATTTATGCCCTGAATTGGTTGATTTCCAGCTTTAAACAGAGTTTGTAAATACTGTCTCAAACAGTTAGAGACCCCTTGTTGTCCCGTGAAAACCTGGCCAGCTTCATTTCTGAGCCTTTTGATTATATTCTTTCTTCTTCTTTCTGAGGCTTTCCTGTGAAAATAGCTCGTGTTGCAGTCCCCTTCTTTTAGCCAGTCTGCCCTGGAACCTTGCTTCCACTTTATTTTCCCTGGAACCTTGCTATAGGGATCAACAGTTAGCTGGGATGGCTTTGGACATTTAATCTTCACATGCCCTATTTTGTCACAGGAGTGGCAGAGGGGGAGTTTCTCATACTTAATCAGGAATTCCTTTAGTTCTCCACCAACATTGAGTTTTATCTTTTTCCTCAGCGGGTTATTGATCGAAATACTAACTCTTATGCGAATGAAATCATCCCACATCTTCTCTGAGCTATCATCAAAATATACGAACTCACCAACTCTGTTTGCTATCTTCTCTGTCATAGATAGTGTTCTTAGTTCCATTGGAAATTCTTTGACTTGTATCCAAATCTCCATTTTATGCAGATCTTCTGGGACTGGTTCCTTGATCCACCAGCTTGCCATGAATAACATTGCACTATTCTCATAGTGCCAGGGCCCCCATAGCAGACCTTATTGCGATCATCCATCTCAAGAAAATGGAAAGCAAAAAGGTTGTTACCTAACACAGATATCTGATACCCTTTCTTCAGTCCCCAAGCTTTTGTTAAAGCTATTTTCATTGACTGGATATTGGGTTCTTTATCTGACACTAGGCGTGCTACAAGCCCTAGATGTCGGACCGCCTCCATTCTGACCACATCAACATCAGCATCTTCGACTTCTAGTGGCTCTTCATCATCCTCATCCAGGGTAATCTGGTTTAGCTGATCTTCAAGTGCCGTTGTGGGATCAACCCCTTCCTGTGCAGCTTTGTGCAGCTTTCTTGAGGGCTGCTTCAACATCCTTGTCGTTGGTGGATGCCCTTGTAGATCTGTCAATCGCTGGTCACACGCTATTTGACTTGGTGAATACGCTTCAAAGGAAGCGCCGTCAACACTTTAGGGTTTAGACGGAATATGTTGCTGAGGTCTTCACTGTGCACAATAATGAAAGAACTTCACTTAGCTGCTATTACAGGAGCTCTTATAGAGTCTTATATGTAGTATTTCTTCCTAGATCAGGACTCTGTCACCGAGTTGTAGTGGGAACCCTAGGTTTCTGCCGCCACGATCAGCTCTCGCTATACGAAAGAAAAAACCCTAGTTGATGGGATATTTCTTGACCTTTGCTTTTATTATGCTGCTTGATTAAGAAAAAAATTCCACAACGATGTCTTATACAAATATTTCTTACTAAAAAGGTTAAGTCAGTTAGTTAATATTTTGGCGATCAAATATTAGGGGCCTTCACAATATTTATATTAGTTGATATTGTTTTCATATAGATATAAAAATGATGTCATTTTAAATAATGCTAGGATATTAGATTCTAAGTAATGAAGTGATGATATCTATTTAATATATACCTGATATCATGTTTTTTTTTATAGATATCATGGTTTTTTATGGTTACTATATTTGAAACATGGGCTCAAGTTAGGGTGCATAACCATGGGTTATGCATCCATCAATAACCAAATCTCAACCCTTCATTTAAAAAATCCAGATATAAGAATGGAGAATTAAAGACAATTTTTTTTCCTAGCTTTCTTAGTCGGCTCATGTCTTTTTCATTTTAACTCGGATTTTAATTTTTTTGCACAAATGGAACGAGTTCATCGTGCTCTATAAAATGAGATCAATTTTCAATATTTTTTGAGAATAAAATTCTGGCCTCTCGGTACCAACTACATACCATATGGTATTTTCTTCATTTTTAATTCGTTTTTGAAAACGTTTGCACAGAAGAGACGAGTTCATCATGATCTATTGGATCTATAAATTTCTGAGTGAATAAACAGGACCAAAAAATACCACACAATACCATACAATACCACCCTGGTACGGGGTGGTATCTTGTGGTACACAATGTTAAAAGTCGTAAGTGACAGTTAATATACTTCTACTATCATGTATTCAACCATCCTACAGTCTTGGTTTGTTTATACCACCATGGTACGCTTTTCAAACCGTAGGTATGCTCTTATTTCAATACCAGTCATTAACATATGGTATAGACTGGTAAAAAATGGCTCAATTTTTTTTTGTTCGAAAATATATCAAAATGGATATCATTTTGAAGAGCACAATTAATCTGATCTAACTGTGCAAAAAAAATTAAATTTCGACTTAAAATGAGTAAGAAATCGTCCGTCAAAGATTAAGGAGGGGAAAATTAAAAGCTTTTCAGAAGAGAGATGTTGATGTCATGCTAATGTAGACGGGTTACTCACTATAAGGTTACTGACCTGATCCGTTTCATGAAAAATGGACAATATCTATTTCTTGAACAAAGCCCCCAGAACTCATTCGACGACCCTGCTTGCATATTTACATCAGAAATCTTTTTGTGCAGAGCCAGCCAATGTCTTTACCATTATTTCACACTCATGAAAATTTTTATTTAGGAATATATATATATATAGGTGGCTACTTCGGTGCACTCACTTTTTTTAGTGCACCCAACTCTAAAAGCGTCCATAATACATCAAATTTTGAACTTTAATTAGTACTCTCAATATAATATGATGATATGACATAGAATCATAACAAATCAATCTATTACCCTAACCCCTTAACATTCAATTTTGAATCCCAACCCAAAATCCCAAATTGTAAACCTAAACCCTAACCCTAAATCGTTCGAATTAAAGTAAATTTTGAATGAATTTTTTTTCAAATTCATGTGTTTCTTGTTTATAATATCATAAGCAACAATTGATACCGTTTTGACATGAATCGCATGGTCAGAATGACAATTATGAGGCGGGTGCACTGAGTCCACCGAATACGGCACCATATATATATATATATATATATATATATATATATATATATATATATATATATATATATGATGCATAAATTCTCTTGAAAAACACTAAATATAAGGATTCGAATTAACTTATTCAATTGCTACAAGGTAGGATCGAACACGTAGTAAAATTTAACTTTGGTTATCGCATTAGGTCCTAACACTAGAATACGAATAACAATTATTACATTATAATTAAGGATAGATGATAAGATGTATGCTCCATATTCAAACGAGCGTGTCATTATTCATGCACTGTATCGTCGATAAAATTGAAAGAAAACCATTGTCGAGGTTACGTGTTGAATAACTACCTTCTCTGAAAATATGTGGACAATATAATGGTCATACAAATTAATATGTAACTGATTCTCCCTTCAACTGACAAAGTAAACCAAGATCGATCATGATAGCTAGATTTTGGGTCCCTCCAAATTGAATGAAGAAAATCACGTTTGGTTTTTTGAAGGTGCATTGATGGATGAAAAAAGCACCCAAAACTTGTCTACCAACGGTTTAATACCTTGTCTCAGAAGCAAATTACGTGCCCCATGGTTTACTGTTGGCCCAATCCAAGCCTTGAAACGTGGTATGTCTTGACCAAAACAATCCCTTCATTAATTAATTTGTACAATACATACACTGTACAAACGTTATCCAAAAAATTGTCGGTTCGTCAATCCCATATATCTCTATCTTTAACTATTATCCATCATCCTATGTCCAAAAAAAGTACTGCATTAGGTCGCTGCCTCACCAAAACTAAATAATTAACAACGGAAGACCAGACCAGACCAGACCAGCCAATTAGAGGAGAAGGCCGACGCCACGATATCCAGGCCCAACTAACCAAAGCAAAAGGCCCAAGTTCAAGTATCCAGCCCACCCACGATCGAACGAGATCCAAGATCCCCACGTGGCAGGTAGACCCGGCGCTTGGAATAACTTGCCGACACTTGGCGCCGGCCCACACCCTCAACATGCCACGCAACCAAAGCCCCGCGGGTCCCACCCGAAGGACGGGACAGAGAGAACGACTCCTCCTTCGATTTCCACCACGTGTTCCTCCTTCGTGGCACTTCTCGTGGTTGCGCCAATTTTTTTCCCCCAACCGTAGAGTCTGGAGAGTTAGACTTAGAGTAACAGCAGCCGTGAACGGACGGTCAGGATTCTACATGAAGGACCGGGAAGGAACGTCGGTAACGTGTCGTCTATCGACGGCGGGCCTCACGTTCTCTCGTCGGTCGTCGGCTGGCGCTAGAAACCCCGGCCAGTCGCGGTCAGAAACAGTAAGTAACCACCATCTCCCGCAATTTGGCGCTAAAAGACAAAAGACTGAGTTAATTAATTTTAATTTCCCCGAATTACGCGTTCTTTCTAGGAAGTAAGGTGAACAGTGGACCAGAGGGGTAGTATTGTAAAACCAGACAACAGCAGCAGGGGAAAGGTCTGGAGAAGGGATCTTCTAGTATCTTCCCTCCAGCTTGCTTCAAATTCTCTCTTTTCCCTGGATCCGTCCGATGCCTTTTTCATCCTCTGTGAACCGTCCGATCACGGACTCCCACTCTCTAGTACCTTCTTCTCCCGTGGACTGGACACAGATAATTATTAATTAATATATATATTATTCATCGCCCCACCACATTAATCACCCTATCTTTAAATTAATAATAACCAATCACGAATTTCCATCCATCTACAATTAATTAAAAAACCAAATTAGTAAAACTTAAAGCACATTATTAACAAAAAAAATTAAAAATTCTCACCGTTGCCCCCCATTTCTCCATAAATAGACCCCTCCCGTACCTTCAAAATCCACCACAAAGCCATCAACCAAATCAACAAAGCAAACAGAAAAGAGGAAAAAAGATACCAAATTTTCCTTCACTCATCAAAACACAGTTCCCACTTCGCTACAAATGGCTCCTCAGATCACACCAACTTCCGCCGGCGCCCTCGCCGCCAAAACCACCACCGCCACTCTGGCGAAGCAGCCGAGCATATCCAAGTGCGCTTACGTCACCTTCCTGGCCGGTAACGGCGACTACGTCAAGGGAGTCGTCGGACTCGCCAAGGGACTCCGCAAGGCGAAGAGCAAGTACCCTCTCGTCGTCGCCATCCTCCCCGACGTCCCTCAGGAGCACCGCCGGATCCTCGTCTCCCAGGGCTGCATCGTCCGGGAGATCGAACCGGTCAGCCCGCCCGACAACCAGACTGAGTTCGCCATGGCGTACTACGTCATCAACTACTCCAAGCTCCGCATCTGGAAGGTAACGGTTCCGTTCCTGCCATATATCGTATTAGTAGAGTATGAGTAGTACGAAATTTTATCATACTCTAATAGGTTGATGTATTTACTACGTGGTGATTTTATTGATTGATTGAATTATTGCTTCTTCCTCGCGCGGCAGTTTGTGGAGTACAGCAGGATGATATACCTGGACGGCGACATCCAGGTGTTCGAGAACATTGACCACCTGTTCGACCTCCCCGACGGCCACTTCTACGCGGTGATGGACTGCTTCTGCGAGAAGACGTGGAGCCACACCCCACAGCACAAGATCGGGTACTGCCAGCAGAGGCCGGACGAGGTCGATTGGCCCGTCGAGAAGCTGGGCCCGAAGCCCGCTCTCTACTTCAACGCCGGGATGTTCGTCTACGAGCCCAGCCTGACGATCTACGACCAGCTGATGAAGAAGCTGAAGGTCACTCCGCCGACGCCGTTCGCCGAGCAGGATTTCCTCAACATGTTCTTCAGGGACGTCTACAGGCCGATTCCCAACGTGTACAATCTCGTGCTCGCCATGCTGTGGCGTCACCCCGAGAATGTCCAGCTGGAGAAAGTCAAAGTCGTCCACTACTGTGCCGCGGTAAGTCGATCGAGTTATTGAGACTGGTTTTGGTTTCGTATTATGGATGTGGACAAGGACTTAATATTGGTTTTTGGTAAACAGGGATCTAAGCCGTGGAGGTATACGGGGAAGGAAGAGAACATGGAGAGGGAGGACATCAAGATGCTGGTGAAGAAGTGGTGGGAGATTTACGAGGACGAGTCGTTGGATTACGGGAACTGGGTCGGGTCGGAGGCGGCGGTGGTGGATCCGGAGGCGGTGAATGTGCAGCCGTTCCTGGCGGCGTTGTCGGAGGCCGGAGTGGTTCATTACGTTACGGCGCCGTCGGCCGCTTAGTGACCGGCGGGATTATCATCAGTAAATTATTAGTGTGCTTTGCTTGAGTAATTATCAATTAAGGTTTTGAGCTCCGTGGAAGGAACGAGAAGCTTTTTTTCTTTTTTCCCCCTTGGGAATTTTCGGTATAGTTTTAGGAGTGTGGGTTGTTTTTTTTTCTTTTTCTTTTTGAGGAAGTGGCCGGAAAGACTTTGATTTGGGCGGAGGAGATTTTTAACCCTCTGTTAATCTTAGAGGATCCATTTCTATTTGGGCTTTTTTTTTGGGTGTATATCTATGTACTGCAATTTCTACTAATGAAAGGCTTATTATTATTTGTATTAAATTGTATCCAATGGTGGTTTGTTTAATTTGTTTTTCATCTTTTTAATCCTTCGGGTCGAGTATGCTGCAGAATGTTTGATTATTACGGCAGTTTTACAGTTTTACTGCAGTCGGTGTTGATTAGTACCTTGATCGATTTAAGAAATCACTACTAAATTTTTTTTAAGGAAAAGAACGGTGTAGCTCCCATTTCTTTGAGTTTTTCTTGTGTGCATGAAAGAAATGGTCGAGTTGAGTTGGGTGGTTAAATTTACTTCCTTTCTTATTCCCTTGTCTTGGTTGGATCAAAGGGGGAAGGGAGTCTGCAACCATTCAGTGACGATCATCTATTTAGTCAGCACAATTGACTTATCACCTAATGTCTAACCGGGTAAGTTGTTTGGACATGTGTACCAGTGGTTCAATCAGAATTTTTTTTTATTGAAGACTAAATCGTCAGATAGCCTTTGGCAGTATAAAACGATTGAGCGACAGTTAAATCACGATTTCAATATAAAATACGTACTCTATTGCTGACTTTTTCGTATATCTTCCGGTATGGTTTTACAATCTTTTATTTGGAGATTTTGTCCTTAGGAATAGATTGGTGTTGAAGATCCTCAATGAGATCATGACACCAGATATCACTTGTCATCGAGTTGGCATAGGTATTTGGGCGCTGGTTCTATTTCCGACGGAGGAACTTTGTGTTTATGAGTTCAATATTGTTTCTCGTCACTTTGATAGGGTAGCCCATCTTGTAGTACAAAAAATCTGCTTATTGAAAGTTCGACTATTGATAGGCTAGCATGGATTGTTAACTTTTCTCTTCAGGACTATATTTGAATCTCCGACTATGTAAAAAAAAAAAGTCAGCAGGGGATTTGGTCTTGATGGCCTTCTCCGGTACACATTGGAAGTTGAACTACCCTACTTTAATGGAACATGCTGGATGGATTCAGAAATCACCACAGGGTATAGGTTTTTACTTGTTCCCCCTACTCACTAGTATGATTAATGATTGATAATTCTAACTTGTTTCACTGTTCATTCATAATGCGGAAATTCCTTAACAAGTCTTCAATCTTGAATAAAGCATACAAATTCCTCTTGAAATGAATGCTTAGAGGGAGATTATCCTCAACCAAGAAAAAATTCCAAGGCAATTCACACTAGACTCACTCTATTGGGTAAGATTCTCACTTAATACAAAGCAATGAATCTAGTCACTCTCGCACAATCGACACCTGCTTCCACTCAATCATGCTTTATCAACCTAATTATATATTCTCTCTCATAGGTAAAAGAAGAAATTGATTATCTCGATTATAGCAAAATTGTTTCATAAACATGCATAAATTGAATATGAACTCGTGTTTAACAAGTAAGAGTACGCATACAATCATCAAGTCAAACAAAATATGACTAGGATTCCTCATCCCAAATGAAGGGAATTTATTCCATAGAAAGAAGAGAGAATATATAAATATGCTCTTGATCTTCAATAATCACTTCCAAGCTTATTCTTCAAGCTCCAACGGTGAAGAAATCTTCCAATTTCGCTCCAAAATCACCTCTGGTTCGTATCCCTCTTTAGGGTTCATCCTTTAGGTGTTTGGGCATCCAAAACCTAGCTCTCCCCTTCAGAACTCACAGAAAATCCCTTTTACACCCGACAGTGGCAAAAGCACGACTAGAAATCACGTTGGGCTTTTCAGGTCTCCGCTCGTGCATTGTAAAAAATGCATCTTCTCACTTATGGTCTTCAAGAAAAACACATCGGCGTGACTCTGAATAAGCACCCCCTCGTGCTTTTGCCATGTGCCCGTACTTTTGGACAGAAGGTGAAGATGAGCTTGCACGATATGAAAATTCTCACGGTCGTGATTTACATGCCCATGACTGTGAGAATCATTGGGGTCCCTCTTTTGCTTCTTTTTGGCCTACAAATGCCCCGGAACTCGCTAACAAGCCTTCACTGTTCTCTACGATCTGAAATATGATAAAAGAGCATGACCTACCATAAATTGGCAAATGATAAGACACTTGTAAGGTAAATGATCAAGAAACAATCATGAGAATAGGGGTACACATGTATAAATGAGCTCGTATCAAACTCCCCCACACTTAACCATTTGTTTTTCCCCAAGCAAACCAATAAAACACAAATTCCCAAAAATCTCCGGATTAAACCAACTCAGGGGCATCATATGATAGAAAAACCAACAACTACCACAAACCACATTCAAATATAGCAAGTTCATGACGTGTGTAACTTCGCATCAGAGTTACAAAACTTCCTAAGAACAAGTTTGTCTCCCAATACCCCAAGTCATCCACACACATAGAATAGCTCTACGGACCAAGAAGTTAAACAAACTAGGTTTTGAATGGGCAAATTCATAATAGAGAAAGAATAATCTCTCAACACTTTACCAATGTGGTCAAGACCATAATTTATGAAGAGGATGAGCATGTCCTACTCTCAATCCTATCATCTCTAATTCATGAAACTAGCTTCTAAACACTTTGTAATGCAATTGAATATCCATGAATGAGTCACCACTAACTTGTTAAAAGGGCTTTTATCAGGTTGTAACTTGGATAAGAACTAGGACATGAGAGCATATCTTTATAGTGATGGAAAAACAATTACTACTCAAACTCAAGGTTCCACAAATCCCATATCAAAGCACATACAACTCGATTTTCCTCAGCTAGTCTGTTTTGATCCACTTTAAGCACGAGAGTACATGAGGAAAGTTTTCAACCTTAGAGTTCTTAGCCACTGGCTAGAAAACAACTCCTTTTTCACATTCATAAACTTTGTGGCTCCTCTCCGGCTCTCCTTAGTCGTTTCTTTTCTTTTTGTATTTTTCATTTCTTTATATGGAGAGCAAAAGATCCACAACTGCATTTTTCAAAAATTTCCTCCAAAACTTACTTTATGATGAAGCAGAGGTATGTTACCAACCACGTTAACCTTTTTTTTCTTTTTTTGTTAAGGGTGATATAATATTATCAATAGCCAAAATTAATGGGTCCAACCACGTCAACCTTGAAAAGGGATCAAAACCCATGTAGTCTTAAGTCTTAACCATGGTTGTCAAACCGGTTTCATGCCAGCCGGTTCAACCGGGTTCAGCCGGTACCGGTCAGCAAACCGGCTGGAAAGGGACCGGTATTTAATTGTGGTCAAATCCGGTCAATGCCGGGCAGATCCGGTCAAATCCGGAAATTCTGGGCGGTTAGATCAGAAACCGGAATTTAATGTTACTCACATTATATCAAAAAATAAACATCCTTAATAGGATTTGAACAAAGTACCTCATGTTAATTTTTTTTTTTTTAGATAAGGGTGATATAGGTTACTTTTTTTGTTATTAGGTACTACTGAAGGGACTCGAACCTGGGACCTCCAGGTTCATGGCTAGTGGTATTACCACTAGACCAATCCCTTGTTCGTTATACCTCATGTTAATTTTAGTTTAACTTATACACCAGTAGGCTTTATACACCATTAGGCTACAAGCAATTTTGTTGTTTATATTAACCTTATATGTTATATATCTAGTACTAAATTTTACACAAATCATTATAAACAATTAAACATTAATAAAATTTATTTAATAAAATTTAATTTTTAAGCATCTAATTGTTTAGTATTAGTTACCAATTCTTAGCTATAAATTATTTTGTGTGAAATAATTCTTCTAATTGCTTTTTGATGACTAATTTATTTGGAATTGAAGATTTCCATTTTCCTCATGTATTTTATTAAAACCGGCACAACCGGCATGCATACTGGTTGTACCACGGTCAGACCATTCCACTTACAAAACCGGCACATTGGCATAAACCGGTTTGACAACCTTGGTCTTAACACAGTCAAAAGATTTGCTTTCTTTTCGGTTTATTCTTACCCAAATCAAAATACTCTTAACGATTTCAATTCGATCTTGAGCCTTTGTCTAATTCGATTTCAATTTCTATCAGATTTTTTCTTTTTGTTTAACCGAACCGAACTATCACCCGTAACTCATCACTCACCAGATATTAATTGTGAGCGAGATGGTGATTGGAGTCTCTATGAGACATGGGACCAGATATCATTAGTCACCGGGTCCGGGCAAGTATGCTCGCTCTCAACTTTTGTGGTCTAGTTTTCCCTTTGGAACGAAAAGACCGGCTTTTGTTGGGATCTCAATACAGCGTTTATCAGCCACTTTACATGGCCAGAAATATCCTCCTGTTGTGTCAGTTAGCACGTTTGAAATGGGGCAAAAAAAAACAGAAGAGAGAGAATGATGTTAAGTGTTAACTACCAGGCAAGTCGATAGCACGATTTACATTTTGGGTTCTGTTCCACGTTCCAATCGACAAACTGCCAAACCAGAAGCATGGTGGTGGAAGCCATGGATGAGAATGGGGATAATTTGGAGTCGATAGCACAGAATGAACGAATGGGATTCATTAGTTCCAAAACGAAAAAGGGGTGACATAACAAACTCAAATACAGGACTATACAGGATTATACGAGAATTATTTGAATCTACAAATGGCATAGATATGAAAAACCTAATGCAATTAGAATTAGAAATCTGGAAAATGAAATTAACAAATGCTAGCAGGGTAATAAGACTATCAATCAATACTATACAATAATAAAAGGGCCGTGGGAAGACAACCTGTAGTTTAGCTGAATAGTAGCTTGTAATTGTTCCCCAACCGCTAGGCAATATAACCAAAATGCTACCCAAAAAGCATCAAATGTGTAAAACACACACATAAAGCTACTAAATGCACTTTAGAGAAAAATATCAACTAATTCCAATTCAAAATAGATAAAAATATGAAGGAACTGATACAAAACATGTCTATGTCAAACTCTTGTTCCTTATCACTCCTAATCACCTTAACTGATTTTCAAAACTGATTTTGTGTTAAGGTACAAAAAATTTTAAGTAAATTTCTTGTCTCACCTATGTGTTTCACCGATGTTTGCCGGTGGTCCCTTTTTTATTGTGTTGGTTCTACA